TTGCTATGAGTTGTTTACGACTCAACGGCATTAAACAACAAACCAAAAAATGAATCCAATAGCATCTCCCTCAAATTCAAGTCTACTCCAAGTTTTTTAATGTGACTATAGGGCATTTGTAGACATTATCAAGTTAACTGGAGTTTGTACCGGAATACAAGCAATCCCTGGGTTACAAAAGAATCTGACAACTACAACTTACTCTTTAAAATGATATGAAATTGTACAACAATGAATGAATGAAAACCTAGCTTTTCTGTAGAATTTTGTTAAAAATCACAATTGAAAAATAAAATTATGTAAATTTGCCCTCACTTTGGGAAAAAAAATTAGCAAATCTGATCCTTGGCCTGTTAGCTTCTGTCTTAGTTTTGAAAGCTAAAGCGGATGAAGGGAACAATATAGAAGCACAGAGCTCACTGAAGGCGGGAATTCAACTGGAACTCTTACGGAAGCTGAGGTCATAGCTTCGGTGTGAGGGTGAATGAGAAATGAGAAACAAGCCCACTTCTCAGACGGTGTCAAGGGGAAACTTGTCCTCACCTAAGGATCTGGTCCAAAACAATGATCCCCGTGTCACTCACACAGTAGGAAGGTTACTTTAAGGAACTTTCTCGCTGCTAGTGCTCCCAAGCAACTAGGAGAGAATTAAACGCAAATTCTTTTTTTCTTGGGAATATAACTTGAAACCAGGCCTCAAAGAGTTTCCCAAGTAAGACTGCAAAGAAGACAACTTCACGTTAAAAAAATCTCTAAAGAAATAAAAAATATGAACCAGAGATACTTTAGATACTGAAATTTCCAGACACAAAATATGGAGAGAGGGGGGAGAGGGGAATAGACTATAGAACTACAATGGGGGGTGCTCTAAATAGGTCTTTTAAAAAATGAATATAGTAATTTAAAAATTAATGGAGAAATTGAACAACAAATCAAAGAGAACTTAAAGAACCAAAGAAAAACCCTGCCTGAGCGGACAGTTGTTATGAACCAATGAGTCAGAACCGACCCATAGATGACCCCCCCCCCACACACACACACAGCAAGCTTTCAAAAGCTGTCAATTAGACAGGAGGAGAATGCCCATCCTTCTCCCATGGAGCAGCTGGGGGATTCAAACTGCATGTTTTTCCGTTGGCAGCGATCTCCCTCATGAGCAGACTAAGAAACAGAAACTAGGAGAGAGGATAGAAAACAAGGGGAGAGTGAAAATATCTAACAAGTAATCAGAGTTCCAAATAAGCTTTCCATTGGAATGATAATGGCTGAGGATTTCCCAAATTCATCAAAGAGCATAAATTGTGATCTGGGGACCCTAACAAATCCCAAGTACAATGAAGCTCTTATTACTTCCGTAATAGCTTGCCTCCGGAAACCCTATGAACCTGGAGAAAGGATGAGCAACACCCAAACGTGGAGGACTCTCCTTCATAGGGTCGCTATGAGTGGCCTGCGACTCGACGGCACTTAACAAGAACATCAACACAGAGAGATCAGCTGGCCCAGTGGACAGAAAATGATGCTACCAAGCCAAAGGTGGGTCACTTTTAATCCGCAGACCTCGGGTCTTTTATTGTTTTTGTTCAGACATTGCTCTAGGTCGTATAACCCTGGTGTACAAGTTGCTGTACAGCAGTCACTTGTGGTTGCTAAGAGGCCGAACACTTTGACACTGATGTGTCAAATGAGTTAATGGTTGGCTACCCAATGCGGACAGAGAGTGGGGTGGAGCTCCCCAATTAAAACAAGCTTGGAAGCAGGAGTGGCATCCACTTCCGTAATAGCTTGCCTCCGGAAACCCTATGAACCTGGAGAGAGGATGAGAGACACCCAAGCGTGGAGGACTCTCCTTCACAGGGTTGCTATGAGTCGCCTGCGACTCAACGGCACTTAACAACACAACAACAACAATGAAGCAGCCTGAAAAAAAAACACAAAACAAAACAAAACACGCAAACCAACACCACCTTACCACCTCCCAGCACAGGACCAGTAAGACAAACCACTGACTTCTCTATAGTAATCATAGATATCATAAGATGGTGACATAACACCCTCCATGAACTGAGACAAAATAATCGTCAATCTAGAATTCTTTACCTAAGGAAACTAAGGAGTTATGTAGAATAGTTATTTCCAAATAAAACTCAGGAAGCTTGATGCTCATCAAAATACATTCTAAAGGATGCAAGAAGAATGTGGTCCTAAGTGGAAAGTATGCTATGAAAGTAGGATGAATAAAGAAAAGATTTTGCAAATCTGGGTAAAACTAAATAACTTCTATGTATATAAAATTACAATATCACCTACTAAAATATTTTATGGTATTGTTTTTAAGTATTCTGGGTCATTTAAGAAAAAAGATGGAGTTACAGATTAACAGTAAATTTTATTAAATTTAGTATATGAACACACGTATTTGTGTTAACATAACTAAGATAATCATTTTAGTAACAGACTAACTTCCAAGCATATTCATTAAAGGGGGGGAGGGGAATCAAATAAAGCAAAAGATAGTTTTCTGAAAAAAGACTGGCAAGGTGGAAAATCAAGACAAAAAAAAATCACAAAGGCACAAATTATCAGAATTGACATGAGAAAGACTTAAAACTGTATGGTATGTTAGAAATACTTGAGACCAGTAAGTTAAAAATTGAGGTGACATGGGTAAGTTCCTTTAGCAAAGTGAGCACAAGAAAAAAAATAAAGAAAATGGAATGGCAGTGTAATTGTTACAGTTAATTCTCCCAGGAGAGAGGCACTATGAAGGTCTGTGATGTGGTTGTAATTACTCTTATGTCTTTAGCTGGACAACAGATATTGACATCAGTTAGACATACTTTCACTTTTTCCTATTTTCAAAATAAAAATAATCTGGTTTACACTCTTTAGACACATGGGAAATTACTATATATTTGCAATGGTCATGGTCAATGTTTCATCATCACTGGCCTCTTCAAAGGGTGGCTATCCACAAACCACAGAGCTCTTTCTTTAGTTCACTGGGGAAAGGAGAAGTGAATAAAGCCATGAAATTCACTCTGCAAATCCAGAAACGGTACGCTGACAGCCCAGTTTGGGGGGGGGGGGGCGGGATTTTATTTACTCTTCCCTAGAACGTAAATGCTTCCAGGTGGCCTTGCTTTGATGCTGATGCAAAGAAAGGCAGTTCCCATGGCAACGTCTTCACTTCAACTGATGTGGATGCTGAGGAGGCAGATAAAGGAATCCTTGAAACCAGCTGGTTGACAAAAACAAGTCAATCCTATAATACTAAAAGTCCAATTCCATATTCAGGGGTTAACCTTAACCCTCTGACACATCACTAGCAGTGGTGGAAATCTTAAATGAAAAACCTCCAAAGAAACAGATACAAGTCCGGATGTGGATCTTCTTGGCATGGTAATAACAAGAAAACATCTGGGTTTACGGTGAGTGTTCAAGCTTTGTACATACTTTGTCTTGTACTTACTCTTTACACTCTTTTGACACGTGGGAAGGTACTGTGTATTTGCAATCCATGATCATCGTCAACGTTTCACTGTCATTGGCCTCTTGAAACGGTGGCTGTCCACATACCAACATGAAAAGGATCACTCCCAGGCTCCATATGTCTACAAAGCAAAGGCACAGCCGTCAATTACCAGGCCACTTGGGAAACGGAAAACACCACCGCTGGAGGGGTGCAGGGAAGGCGCGCATGAAAGTAGACTAACAATGTTTAGTATTTTATTTTGACTCATCAAAAGCATTTCACGTCTCACCTCAAAAAACATCTAGAGAAGAAAACGTAACACTCAATGGGACAAGGAAGGTCTCTGCCTCGCCCACTATTATCTATTCACTGAAGGCCTCCGCGTGTACCAGGCAGAATGGCACATGCGCGATCAGAGCACGAGCCTGTCCACTCATGGCGAAAACCTCACCTGGAAATGACTTACCGAGGCTCCTAAACCCGGGGACAGTGTACTCCTGCTCCTCTCATCACAAAAAACACGTGAGATGAAACGAAAACACTGGTCTTTTGAGACTTGAAAAGGATTTTGGCTAAGTTCACAATCACTTCATATCCAATCCTCAGTGCTAGTGAAGTGACCAAATTCTAACTGATAGTTTTTTTTCATATATAGGAAAAGCTCAGAGAAGATAAAAAATGTTTGTGCTGTTTAAGAAGAAAAGATGGATTATCTGTTACTTCAAAGAACAGACTGAGAACTGAAGGGAGAAGGAACCAAGAGAAATTCTGCAGCTTGAAAACAAAAGCAGTTTATTCAAGAGAGAGTTAAACAAGGGAAACAGTGGTCTATCCAGATAAGCTTCAATCACCAGAAGTTCCCCAGCAAAGGCTACACATGAAATTCCTACTGTGACTGTAAAGGCTGGGCTGGCTGGCATCTGAGGGAACCTCTCCCAATTCTAGTGACGCCAGACTGTTGTTAGTTACCACAGAACTCATCCCAATTCACTGGAGTCCTATGTACAACAGAACAGTGAACTGCTAAAAGCCAAGTGGGGAGACTGTTCGAAAGACCTCAGTAAGACAATATGACAGCTTGGGGGCTCATTTATACAGCTGTTAGTTCTCCAGATGTTTTCATTTCTCTTTTTGTTCCACCTTTTATGTGAATGACTTTACCTTTGCAGTCAAAGGGCCAAAGGAAAGAGATTTAAAAAAAAAAACCAAAACACTAACAAACAACCCACCAAAACCTCAACAGTTCATTGCTGCTGAGCTGGAACTGATACCCAGCTGACACACTCCACCAGGTTTCTGAGGCTGTGAGATTCTCCCATGGAGTCGCTAGTGGACCTTAAAGTGCTAGAGTGGTGCAGCCTTCAGGTCAGCAGCGCAACTCCCTGTGCCACTGACCACGGAGTAAACACAAGCAGCACGACTTTAATGACGCTATTTCCTATGTCTCTGAAGAGGGAATAACAGCCCACCTTCTCTTAAGGAAGCACTGGTGGCCTAGTGGTAAGGAGTTGTGCCAACAGCCCAGAGCCAGGTGGTTTGAATTCACCAACAGCTTTTCAGGGAAAAAGATGGTCAACCTCCTCTTATGCAACTTACAACCTCTGAACAGCCTCTAGAGGGTCAGCTGTGGTTCAGCTCCAACTCAACAGCAATGAATGAACGAGTGACCTTCTCTTAAAGATGCTGTGGACATTAAATGGACTAAAACCGTGGTCAGCACAGAGTCCCAGCACAGGAAACAGTCAAAGGTGGGGGCTGCTGCCCTCCTCTGTTTATCTCCATTGAGCACTGTTCTCTGTAGGATCAGGAACAATAAACGTGCAGTCTTCGTCCTTAAAGGATTCCTAATTCACTGTGAAAAACAGAGTCAAAAATGGAGCAGAGGCAAGCTCCAGAGGAGGCACAGAAGCAAAAGGGAGAAGAGAAACCAGTGGAGATGGAGCGAGATGACCAGGAGTAATTCAGGGGGTGATGCCTCAGCAGTGTGGATTCCCAGAACTGGACCATTAGCATTACAGGACTAAGAACAGCAACAAGAATCTGTAACATCTGCCCTCGAATGGGAGGGGGAGCTGGGTGGTAGTAGTTTTAATAAAATGTTGTCTTAGTAGATATTCTCTGTTCTCTTTTCCCAGAAAGACAAAAAGCCCAACCCCAAACCTGCTAACAAAACAACAAACCTGAGCTAGATCCAAGCCTCAGCTTGAGAACCCAGCACTGCCAAGGGACCCATGAAGGCTGTGATAGGGACAATGGGAACCTGTACCCTTCCCACCTTTTAGGTTAGGCCATTCCGTCAACAGGAACAACCTGAACAACCAAATCTGATGGATAGGGGCTTTATTCCAGACCCTGATCCAGCCTCCCGGCTGTAAAAATGAAAAAATACCTCTTAATAAATTGTTTAGAAGCAGCAAAGCTTCCAACTTGTGGCGCAGTAAGGATACACAGTAGAGACTGTGGTCTCTCCTAGTGGCTGCTCCCTTGCTGACGGGAAATAAGATCAGACACATGGGGGCCTGAAATGTCATCAGCTAACACGCAGCAGATCCATCTATCATCACAGAACTGAATTATGCTATTTCTACGATTACAGCCGAGTTTAGATGGCAAGGTTCATTTTAGGCAGGCTATGAAAAGATCAAAATGAAAAGAAAACAGAGTAAAAGAACACGCTAATTACTAAACTGATGAAAAGCAAACGCCCAAGGGGTGTCAGGACCAAGAGGTTTCCTAAATAATCGTTTCAGAAGTGATTTCTCTAGACAATAAAAGAAAGAACAAGAAATGGAGAGTAATAAAAAGGAGATCAGAAGAAAGGCTTTAGGTAGAAATCTCTTCTTTCCCCCAGTTTTCTTTGACTAAACATAGCCATAAGTCACAAAAGGCGGCAAGTGGACCAGTAGGTTTAAACCGACTACAGATGAAGCAGGGATCAGCACCTTTTACGACTCCCCTTACAGCAGCCAGGTTTATGCAATCACTTTTCAGTTCCAACTGTGGTCAACAGCAATTGACATCTGACCCAATACTAACGCAAAAGCAATGCTCACTTAGAATCCCAAACACTGTTTCAAATGTGTTCAGATCCCAGGAGCTCTATAATAGAAACTACAGCCTGGATTTCTTTGTGCCGAAATCTAAGTGCCCAGGCCTTCGGTCTGAATTCTGTTTACACAGTAAGAACTACCTGCCTGCGTTAAAATCACCTGGAATTCTTGATTATAAATGACTTCTTCTTTCTCCACATAATACCAGTGGGTTGGTTCTATAGATTGTTTTAGAAGTAAAAAAAACTCCCCAGTCATATAGACTAATGGTTTAAGAAAAGGTAAGATCTGGATAAATTCATGTTATCAATACAAACATTAGAAGCAAACTTTGATTATTTAACAGCGAACTTCCTTCCCTCTTCTTGTTTAAAAAAAAAATGTAAGAATGTGATGATTAATTTTATAAAACATCATTAATGTAAATGACTGTATGAAACATAAATGAAAGATAGTGTGGAACACAATGTATATCAACTTTGTTCTCAAACCATTATTTTTTGTACGCAATTTTTTAAAAAAATAATGAAGAGCATCATCTCAAATTTATTTTTTTTTAAGAAAAGCGATCCAAACTTATTCACGAGTGAAACATACATGATTAATTTGTCTCCACATGTACAGTTCTGTGACACTGATTACAGGTTTCCAGTTGTTTAATTGTTCCCAGCCTCCTTTCCCAAGCTGTTCCTCATTCATTAGCATAACTACACTGCCCCACTAAGGAGCTTATCTGATTTTTTTTTTTTTTAATTGGCTTGCATATAATCAAACTTACTTTTAAATGCTTCTCTCTCACATACTAGACCTGAGTCTACCAGGAATGGTCCTGGGCTTCAAAATTCTGTATTAACCAAACTAAGTTTACCACCTCCCCTGGCCTGTTTGTCCTGCCAGCTACTCCAGTCAGACCTTCCGCATTCAGTCCTCACGCTTCAGTCCAGCCGCACACTAGGTCAGAGATCTCCTGCATCTCACCTGCTTAGAGTCCCCAGAAGCGCGCTCTCTGACTCCCGTCTTCCCTGACTGTCATCACCTTGCAACCTGGTGGGCTGTGCCAGCAGGCGGATGGGATCGCAGCATTATCACAGCAGGCTCCAGTTACGATTTCTCCATTACTTAGAGCTCCCTGGGCACAGATGTCCCCTGCACCCAGCCTGCAGCCCACTCATTGGGGTTTGTGGAAGGCAGTGAATTTGTTAACAGTACTGCTAGCTGTCTTGATGACAGCTCACGCCGACCCATGGCAGCTGCATGCACAACGGGACAATGACCGCTCAGTGCTGTACATCCCCCTGGGACTGGCTGCTGCCGGCCCACTGGGACCCATCAGGTTCTGGAGGTAGTTTGTCAAGTTCTTGTCCATCTTAGTCGGGAGGCGCCGCTGAAACCTGGTTAGCATCAGAGCCATGTGGAAGCCTCCACCAACAAATGACTGTAGCTGTGAGTGAGGTACGCTGGCTGGGAATCAAACCTGAATCCCTTGGAAGGAAACACTTATACCACTGAACCATCAACTTCCCCCATCAGAACTAAAGAGCAAACAGCTATTCTGCAAAGTCTGTGGGCAGAGCAGCCACAAGGACACCTGAAGCAGAGGCGTTAGAATAAAGGGTGATGGAACAGCAACTCGTGTCCTTCAACCCCAAGATTAGGGGAGACTAAAAGGTACCCGTGCGAGGTAACATGTGTGCTGCAGAGAGAAATCACTGCTTGTAAGCTGCAGCTGGCTTTAGTCAGCTGTGTAAGGCCTGTGCAAACTTGTTGCACATCTAAAGAAAAGAAAAAGTTTAAGAAGTCAAAGAGTTCTCAATCATACATTGTGGTCGACAAGCGTCCCACAGACACCAAGCAGACAAGCAGTAGACGCTTTTCCACTTGACATTCCTTCATCAATCACTCTACAAGCCCACTTTTCCTACCAGTCAGGAAGCCAATTTAACAAATGAAGAGGGAAAACCAAGCAAAGATAAATGCCAGTCAGGGTTGGCCGCTTTCTTTTAGCATGACCTAATGAATAATGAACAGTGTGTCCTGCTAAAGTTTCAGAGTCTCAAGCTCAAGTCTTACCATTCTATTCTGTGCCTAA